AAACTGAGAAGATGAGTAGGGCAGGGGAAAATAATGCAGAGATTTTTCATCATCTATTCCATTCACCCACCTAGTTGGGAAGGCAACTGTGACCTTGTCTACATTGATAATTTACCGAGAGTTTCCCACTAGGCTCATTGCATCCTGCTTACATGACACAGAGCCAAATCCCCAGATCGGGCCCCAACAGTCTTCATATCACCTGCCCTTGATTCAGGACTTCTTTCGCCAACCCACATTTAAATAACTCACCATTTGCTATGGGTTTTCAGGAGAGTATTTACTCATCAATTCCTTTTGCATCCAATCACATATTAAGGAGGCATGCAAAGGGAGCTGCACATGTGGGAATGAAATCGGAGCAAGAGGAAAGGGAAGAAGCATGGGAGCCTTATCCATGATTCCTTTTGGTCTCAACTCAGTTGGATTGTGACCCTTGAACTGTTCTTGTGACTTAATCTCCAATCTGAAATAAAAGATTCAGTCTCAGTGCTGGTGGAGTTGAATCTGTTGCATCCCTCTTATGTCTCCATGCTGATATTCCCTTCACCCACCTCTCCTACCACTAAAATAAAATAGTAGGGTTTATGACCCTGGGGCATACGTTGCTTGAGTTGTTCTTTTGCAACAATAGTCTGGGATTGGGGCAGGAGGTGGGTGGGGGAATACCAAACTTGCAGGAAACAAAGCATGTTGAAAATAATCCCTAAAAACAGGAGTTGGCCAAGGGCAGTTTCAGCTGTTTTTGCAAACTAAATCCCACTCCAATCCTTCCACCTGTTCAGCAGGGAAGAGTGATTTGCTGCTCTCAGAAAAAAAATTGTTTTGTGCTCAAACAAGACATGTGGGCTTTTTTGGGGGGGTGCTGGGAATTTTAAGGCTTTCCCCCCCAAAAAACTGGAAGTGTATTTTCAATCACTTCCAGATTGAAATAATATGAAAAATCCACATTTTTGAGAGTGTCCAATTCACAGTGTGTCTCTGAGAGACAAAACAGCCCACATCTGCCCTAGAGTATCAGCGAAGGTAAGCCTTGTTAGGGAAACAGATGGTCCCTAAAAATTGGGGAAAAGGATCTCTTCTTTCTTTTTTAAAGAATATAAAGCAGGATTTCCCAACCTGGTTCCCATAGATATATTGGACTGCAATTCCCGTCACGTCAATCTTGTGAGGATGATGTAGCAGCCAGTTTAAGGGAAGCTGATGCAGAGAGAACATTTTCTGAAGTCAGAGATTCAACAGCCACAACTGTATCTTCTGTCCCTCATTCTTCCAGTCCACTTTCAGGACTCAGATGTATTGCCTTAAACATATTAAGAATATAACAAGAATCCTACTGAAAGAGCTCAAAGGTTCATTTCATCCAGCTTTCCCTCTGTGTGGCTAGCTGGACCCATTCATATTCTGCTATGTGAATATTCTGCATATTCATATTCACCAGTGCCATTGTTTAATAAGAGGCCTTTATAGAAGAAGACAATTGACAAAGCATTTGCTTTTTACTTGTTTCTAGGGTAGTTTCGTAGCCTGCATGATGGCCATCTTGAGGCAAATGGATGATGCTCATTACAGCCACTACATCAGCACTTTCAAAACAAGACAGGATCTTATTGTAAGTTTCTTTGAATGTTTGGGTAGAGTTGTGAGTAAGATGATTGGGAACACACACACACACAATGCATTTTAGATCTCTGATCTTGTCTATAGGAACTGTTATCTTATGGACAAAGATGTATTTATTTTTGTTGATTGTGTTATTAATTGCCATCAAGTCAGCTTCAGCTTGTCACAACCCTATGAATGAGAAATCTGTATGACACCCTGTTATTAACAGCCCTGTTAAGATCTTATAAATTCAGGGCTATAGCTTCCTCAACTGAGTCTATCCACCTGCAACGTGGCCTTTTTGTTTTCCTACTGCCGTCCTGTAATTTAAAAAACACACGGAAATTGCACAAATGTGGTAATTACCCAAGCTCATGGATCTTTACAGTTGCATAAATATGCTTAAAATCCATCAGGGTGATGCAAGAAACTAGAAGGGGTGACTGAATAATATTTTTAATAATACAGGGAGGAGGGAATGTCAGGGAGGGTTCAGGGCCTTGCACAGAGGAAAGACCGAAGGCCAGTGGCAAAGCAACTATTTTGCATGCAGAAGTTCCCCGGTTCATTCCCTGGCTTGGCCAGTTCAAAGGTAAAGTTAATCTGAAAAAGGCTTTCTGCTTGAGATGCTACAGAGGTCCTGCCAGTCAGAGAAAACATTGCAAGTAATGTAAGTATATAACAGTTTTCTTTTTCTTTTCTTCTTTTACATATATTTTAAAGAGAGCTTAAAGTGCACACACAGCATTGTAAAAAAAATTTGATCACACCAGTGTAACCTTCGATCTGTTCCTGCTGGTTTGAACAAAAGCTCTAATAAGCTGGGCTGTGGTCTCTGCATGCTTGCCAAAATATGTGAGACACTTGTATTGATGCTGGTTGAGGAACCATTGATGTGTAGACACCAGTTGCCATTACTCACAGCTCAATAGCTCTTCTTAGCAAAATTGTTCTCCATCCTTGTGCTTGATATGTGCATAAATATTATTATTATGAAGCTGGTAGAGCTGATGGATGGAGAAACCCAGCTTCCTATCCTTTAGTTACCCACCTTTGCTTTAATTAACATTTTTACTCTTTTCTTGCATTGCATACCATCTAAACACATCTGTTGTCTAGGGATAACCTAAAACTGACTTTGAGCCAACATTGTGACATGGAAAAATCCATAAACATAGGGCAGGGTGTCCATTTGGAGGCTGGTATATGTTTAGTAGCCTCTCAGGAAAAAAAAAAAGAAGCAATACATGGGGAGTAGTGTTCTGTGGAGAGCCGCCAAGAGCTTTGAAGGTTTTGACTTTATTTGGTCCGATGAAAAGTTGGCAAGTTTGAGCTGTTGGGGTTGGCTTCCAGAAGCAGAAATGTGTGTTTATTACCATTAAGGACATGTGACCCATTTTCAACCAAAATCCCCAAGCCATTCAGAATTTAAGCAATGTCTTCTGAGGATCCTCTTTTTCATAATTTCCACTCTGGGTTTGAGTTACTCGTATAATCTTTTAATGTTGATGAGCTTTGCAAACAGTGTGGGCAGTGAGCTTTGGAAGAACTTAAAGCTGCTGCAGTCACCTATAAAGATCTTTGTTGGTTTTGGATCCTCTCCACCCCAACCCTTCAGTCTGCAATTGAAGTCAGTTGCAATATCTGAACCTCCCAAGCAGCGTGAGGCAGCTGCTTCCAGCAGTAGGTTTAGGATGTAATGATAGGGCAGAAAAATAGTTAGTGGTTTTCTTATTATTGTGTTTTTACTGCTAGAAAGAGAGAGATCTGCTTGAGAGAGGTTCTCTCTCATGTGGCCAGATAACTTGGTTGCCATTTGGTACAATGCATTTTAAATATCCTAAGGGCACCAGATCCCATCTGATCTTGGAAGCTAAACAGGATCAGAACTTGGATGGGGTCCACCAGCAAATGCCAGGTGCTCTAGGCTATAAATCAGAGGAAGAAATTGGCAAAGTCACCTTTGAGTATTCCTTGCCTAAGAAAATTCATGGCTTCTGCTGGAAGAGGATATAACACCCATATTAATAATAATAATAATAATAATAATAATAATAATAATAATAATAATAATTTATACCCTGCCTCTCTGCATAGCAATCGGGGCGGCTTCCAACATAAAATACAATACAATAAAATCAATCCCAGACCCAACCATCCCACCCTTAAAAAATTATTAAACAATCATCAATTAAAACAATATTTAAAATTTGGCAAATTTCCCCCTTACCTCTGCACAGAGCAACAGCACTCATTATGTCAGGCATCAACTGGATTGGGATATGGGAGATTTGCATTGGTCTCACCATGGCTTGGCATGGTGTCTGTATATTCCTTTGTGTGCATAAATAAAGGGAACAATGATAAGGAAGGGTTGGATCAAGGCCTAAAAAATGATGTGAAATCCATGTGAGATCCTTGTCTAGATCCATGAAAGTTAAACTGGCTCTCCATATCAAACCCAGACCTAATTCTCTTCATATGTCACAGTTTCCCCAATGCAGGGTTTTGTTTTTTTGGTTTTTGGTATTGGAAAAGTCAATATAGTAAAGAGAGTTTTTATCTTGAAGACATTTGATGGCCATAGCATATTTGCCAACATTTCACAGTTTAAAACTGTGATACATGTGGCCAAGCAACATCAGAATGTGTTGAAGACAGGAAAAGTTATTAATGAAGAAGAATGCATAAGGTAGGGAAAACTGCAGCAGTTTGCATTTGCCAGCTCCTACTGGGAAGGACAAGATTTTGACCCCCTCATCTCCTCTCCCCACTGCTGTCAATTAGGGGCACACTGCTTTTGCATTTTAAACTGAGTTTGTACCACTGGATAAACCGAGGACAATGGGGGAATGTAGGAGGAGAAGAGAAAAACTGGGCATTTTAAAAGCAGCGGAAAAAATGGGATGACAGATGATAATTTAGGGCTGTCCTTCCCAAATTGGAACAGTTGGGAAATATAATATAGATAGAATAGGGACAGTCTCCTCTAGAATCTAATTCTCCATTATTCATGATAGGAATCTTTGGAAAAGCTGAGTCTTTCTTGATGAAGATTTAATTTCAATTTATTTTTGACAGCAATTTATCAAAAT